GGGGGGGGGGGGGGGGGGCGTGGGTGAGTCGGTGTATGCAGTGGGTAGTCGATGGATCAACTGACTGGCGATGAGCCGCCCTAGTGTTTGCTTCGTGTGGATGCGATGCGTGCCATCACTGCCATGACTGTCGGTATGACGCTTGAATGCAACTAAGTCCAGCCAGCAAGAGTCTCTCGCAGCATCCCATCCAAGGGTCACTTGACATCCAGACACAAACACATACACGGCGGCGCACATGGAGGCACTCGCGCATAACCACAGGCCAGGCACTCGCCTCACCAGAAATAAGCATCTTCCTACTCCTCCCCATCCATGATCGCAAGCATGCCTGCGTCACCGACATGGCCGTCAGGTATTTCCTCTCCCTCCGCCAGTGGTGGGCCGACATTCGGGAAGAACGAATCGCGCGGCGGGATGGCGAGGGCCTCCTCCGCCTCATGGCCAGGTGCTGTCGCAATCTTCACCTTCATCTCAACGCTCGTGCATGCAGGCAATGCGCGCGCCTCTCGCAACACAGCTGACGCGTCGCCCTCCATCCCTTGCTGCAGGACCGTCACCGTCACCCTGATCGACCGGATCCGCTTCTCAACGGCGGCGAGGTCGACGGCCTCCGAACACCGCTCCCACAACGACCACTGGACGGCGCCAAGCTCCGGACGATCGATGCGGACCTTGGTGTGCACGTCGATGAGCCCTCCAGCACAGTTGCCCCTCGCCGAATAGGCCGCGCATGCGGGCAAGATGAATGCGGGGCCGCTGAAGAGTGACGGCGACTGTGTCACAATCACTCGTCGGATTGTCTTCATCTCGGTGAGGAAATGGCGGGCTTCCGTCGTCATCTGGTGTTCAGGCAGGCCCTCGATTGTCGTCACAGAGGGGTAGACAGCGGGAGAGAGCAAAGTGCGCGGAAGGGGCGTCCACCTCTTGAAAGGTGTGTCGTTCTCGACCGAGAATCTTATGGTTGTGGCCGTCTTGAATACCAGAAGAGGGGGCTGACACCAGGGGCCGCCCCACACCGGGATGATGACCGTCTTGCACGAGTCTGCCAGCAGCTCCAGCACCATCGCGTTGCTATAGAGGAAGTCGTTGGGGCAGTCGACGAAGATGTTGGCGTGGAAAGAGGCCGTATAGTATCTCTCGCTGGCGCCAGGTCTTATGATGCTGCGGCGGAAGAGTGTGGTCACCCACACGAGGGACCGCTGCGCAGAGGCGGTGAGGGTGTGGAGGGGCACGTCGACGCTGATGGTCGACACAGAGCGGTCAAGCCGCTCACGGAGAGACCGGTCGTCGAAGATACCCACGGTCGACTCACCGAGCTCCATATCCTGCAGGCAGGCACACAAACAGGTCGACACGGCCTGCCCCTGTGTTTCGCCTTTCTTCGCGTGAAGGACCTTTACCGTGATGGTGTCGATGGCGAATCTGTTCTGCGGGATGCTCCGAATTACATCCAGCCACCTCCTCTCACCCCTCTTGCCCAGCGCCACGGCCCTCAACCTCGCAGCGTGACTCACCCACCACATAGCTCCCCGGAACAATGCCTCGTCGTCAGCAACGCACCAAATGCGTTCGCCCGGCAATCCGTGCTCGAGCCGCTCAAGCCGTGGCGCATTCCACTGGCGAATTTCAGCCATACAAAACCACACATGTGACAACACCGCCCTCCTGAGATGGGGCAAGTTTATCTTCACGGTGGGTGGCCGTCGGCGGTGGCCGGTGCGAGGCCTCACGAGGCCGCAGGGCAGGTCCTGGTAGATGCTCTCTTGGTCGGAGGGGCAGTCCACGATGAGCTCTTGAAGGGATGCGGTGCACAACTCGACGATTCTTGCCAGGGGAAGCAGCTGCGCCTTGTCGTCGAATGGGAGGGAGAAAAAGATCACTTTGACTCCGCGATTCGGTGGTTGGCGGCTGAGGGCATCTGCCCGCACCTGGAGCAAGAAAACACACGCCAAAACACGGACCCATTCATCGCATCCCAGGCAAAGCACAGGTACTCACCTTCGCGTCGTCGAGGAGGGCCTGATTTGCGGCATCACCTTGCCGCTGCCAGAACGTCACCGAAGCGTAGTAGCTGTGGCACCAGGCGCAGAGGCGCCGGGAGCCCCTCCCGAGTACTCGAAGCACTTGCGATGGGTAGCTCGAGAGAAATCGGGCTATCCACACCAGAAGATCATCGGGAAGAACGTCAAGGCCTCGAAGTTGTTCCATATCGTACGACGAGGTGGATCTGTGCTGCCTGGGTTCTTAATTGGGGTTAACTTCGGTATAAGCTCGCAGACGTCGCAGCTCGCATTGGAAAAAAGCCCGCACAGCGCAACATTTTCATTGCAAATCGAAATCAGCAACGACATATCTCTTCAACGAGAGCCTTCCCGCTTTGCAAATCGTCCATCATGCCCTGGTGCACCGCCCCCGAGTGGTGGGAGCACGTGAGGCCCAAGCGAAAGGAAGCCATACCCCTCAGCATTTGTGTCGCGTTCGTGTTCGTCGAGACGATCCTCCAGGCCACAGTGCTGCACGCAAAGCATGTGCGCGTACAAGCTGACCTGGCCGCGGCCGCGGCGGCGAGAGCCTCTCAAACCGCGGCTCCCCTGGTGATGCCTGAAGTTTCGCCCACCTTCCTGCCTACAGTCGCCCCAGGGCCAGCAGAGGCTGCAGGCTTCCTCGCCGTCACACTTGCAGAGCCAGCAGACGGGTTGACAGCAGCCGTCTCCGGCGTCTCGATGCCCACAGCGGAACCCATCGCAGAAAGTATCGCAGTCGACATCGCAGAAACTATCGCCACAGGCGCCCCGGTCAGACGGCTGCAGGAGGAGGACACACACCATGAATACGGTGAAGTAGAGGGGTACAGGACTGCGGCAGTGCTAGCCTTCTGCGGTGAGCGAGACACGGCAGCTGATGTGAGACATTCTCTGACGTGTCTCTTGTGTTGATCACCCGTGGCAGTGCTGACGATCCTCCTGATCATGGCCTACGAGACGGGATATGACATGCTCCAACGATTCATCGGAAGGCGCGGAAACAAGTGAGCAAGCAATCAGGGAGGGAGACATGTCGTCTAATCTTGTGTCTCGACCTCTCCTCTCCCTGTTGTGACGTGACAGGCATCACCTGCAGATGCTGTTTGCACTCACGCGGGAGCTGACGATTCTAGGCTTCATCGGACTTGTCTTCTTCACCTTGACCAAACTAGGAGTCCTGCACGAGGTACGTGAGGCGACAGGTCAGGTCACACAGATGGGGAGAGAGACGTCCGTGTGTGTTAATCTGCAGATAAGTAGCGTTGTGTTTGGGAAGACACCGATGGAGGAGGCCTGGGAGCAGCTGGAGGGGCAAGGCATCGAAGGTGAGAGAGAGAGAGGCCTGCACCCACAACTCGAGCCAAGCATCCTTATGTCTCTCCATGCCCAGTAGACCGACCATCGAGCGTCGTGGCGGAGCTCTTCGAAGGTGTTCACCTCCTCATCTTTGTCATCATGGTCGTTTTCCTCTTCTTCGTCGGCTTGCTCATTTACGTACGGAGAACGATATGAGTCCCAGCTCGAGTCGCTCCATCGCATCCATTATGTGGGTACCTGTGGTGTGGTGTCCTCCACCTGGCAGATTGTCGGGTTCGTGGCTTCCGAGTGGAGAGAGGGCGAGACCCTCAACCGACCGGCCATCAAACGCAAACTCTGCCAGCTCGACAAGACCCATAGCTGGTGTGTCCGCCCGTGGGCGAAACAGGCCCTCTTGCAAGACTATCGGTGTGTTGGAATCCATCAAGCCTCTAGCCTCCCTCCGCTCGATTGGTGCTGCTTTCCTACAGATACCGGCTACTTCGTGAAGAGTTCTTCGAGCCCCTCGTGGGCTACCGTCCTCCATACATCAACAGGACCTCGTTCCCCTTCCACCTGTACCTCTCCAACTGCCTGGTGAGAGAGCCAGGTCATCCCATGGTTGCGCACAGAAGAGCGACCGATTGATAATGTGTCGTGTCTCAGGCGGCAAGCATGGCTAACCTCATCGAGCTTCCGCGCTCCTCTCTCTTCATTCTTCTCCTGCTGGTCGTTGCCCTCTACCCAGCCCTTACTCTACGGGGCTTCAACCTGGTCATTTTCTTCCTCATCGTGGCCTGGGTGATGGTCGGCGCTGCGCTGGTCCTTGCCTTCAAAACCAATCAAATCTTCAATTACCTCCTGCCGTCGGACGACGAGCTTCTCAACAACCCTGACAAGTGGATCAAAGGTATATACCTTGGCTCTCTTCATCGATCGACCTTTCCACCCACTGATCCCTTGGCTTGCCTCGATTGCTCAGAGAACAAGGATGTGATTCTGGAGACTGAAACGGCGCCGGATGGCGAGCCTTCTCCCACCCGCAGGGCCCCAGGGCAGACCAAGGGAGACAAAGAGCTGAAGGCGGTCAAGATCAGTCCTGGCGCATTGACCGGCACACCGAGGCCCGCAGGAGACACGGCACGCACCACCAGTCGCCAAAGGACTCAGATCGGCCTACAGCCAGAGGTGCACAACCATCTCAGGCACCTCGCACAGTCGTCGATTGCCTCCGTGTCTTCCTTACCTTCAATATGTACAGCTGCTGGAAAAGCTTCGTTCGGGTCATCCCTCTGCGACAGGCAAGGTGCCTGCGAGCACCCGCGATGACGCCAACGCTCCTTTGCTGAAAGAGGCTGACCTGGAGGCAGGTGGCCTCGGTGAGCAGAAGGGTGTGGCGCGTCTCTACCAGAACAGCATCATCATCATCGAAAGTGCCTTCCTGCGAGCCATCTGCCGATTCTTCTGCGGTAGGGGCACACAGAAGGCGTGTGCGAGCGGGACTGCCATCCTTTTGTGTCCATTGCCACAGGTACTGACGCCCCGAACGCTCACGAGAATCTGTTTTGGTTCTGGAAGAATGGTATGACATAGGTTGGAGGCGAGAAGGAGGATGTGGGTGATGTGATAATGCTTGAGTGGTTGCAGGTCCGCAGCTCATGTGGGGCCTGCTGCAGTTTGAAGTATTCCTCACAGCCATCTACTTCTCTCTCTACTTCCGGTGAGTGAATGAGCCGATGTGATGGACGGACACTTCTTTGCCCTGACACCATACACTTGCACCAATGGCGATGACTGCAGGGTATTCGTTGGCTGGTATCCCGAGATCTGGCAGCAATACTACTGGGCGTTCTTCCTCACCTTGCGTAAGATAAGACCACACGCGACGTCAGTCAGAGCTCTCTGCCACGATCGATGCAATGCACCTATATGTGTGCTGTGCTTCCTCTCCTTTTCAGTCCCTTTCGTCTATTTCTACGTCTTCGTGCTCCCGTCGCTGACCCGCAGGCTTACCGTGATATGCAATTGCGGGCTGTTCTGCAACGAAGAGGTCAGCGGACATGAGTCCTCAGCACACGAGTCGAGTGGACCCTGAGACCGATCCGTGGGTGTTCGTTCATGTGTGCAGATAATGATCGAGACATACGAGGAAGCAAGGAGCCAAACGCTCAAGGCATGGCGAAAGCGACACCTCGACGACGCAATCCGTCGACTTTTCTGCATATGTCATTCCTTCTGTCTGTGGATCTGCAGAATAGTCTGGCTCTGCTCTCTTCTGTGAAGATGGACGCGTATTGCGAATATTTGCGTTTCCTGTCGAAGGACGAACTCCAGAAACTATACTCCGTACGACGCCAGCCCTCACGATGACTGCAGTCAGTCGATCAATCATCCTTGCTGTGTGCGTCTCTCTCTTGTCAGGCCTGTGAGTCCATCTACACGTATGGTTTCTCCAAGGCGGAACAGAAGTACATCGAAGACGGTATGCATACCGTCGACTTGCCGAGAAAAAGACCTCCGCGAGCATCATACCATCCGTTTTCCCTCCCTGCCTCCCTACATGTCCACTTATCAGTCTTCAAGGCTTACGACCTGAATGGGTCGGGGAAGATCGAAAAGGACGAGCTGCGGCGAATGTTAATGGTGAGTGTGACGGCACCCAGACACTCTGTCGTTGGCAATGCCCTGTGTCTCTCTGTCGCCTCAGGCTCACGGCCGCGAGTATGACCGAGCTCAGGAGATCGCAGATAGCTTCTTCCAATGCTTTGACAGGGTGAGCACCGAAGAAGAAGCCGAGAGCACCGAAGAAGAAGGCAGGCCGCACGCAGCCAGTGTTGCAACATGGGCGCTCTCGGTCTTGTCCGCTCAGGATGAATCGGAACAACTCGATAAGGTTGAGTTCCTTTGCATCATGGTTGTCCTCCATCTGATGCAGTACGGTGGACTCGACACGGTGGTCGGGGTGGCTACGCAGAGTAAGTCAACAGCTCAGCGCAAGAAGCAACCGTGACATTGCCCTGAATTGTCTGTGTAGAGTATTTGCATGCCCCTCAAATGAGCGAACTGCTCGCGACCTACCTGGACAAATCGCAAGACGGCAACATCACTCTTGAGGTCAGCACGTTGCCAGAGGGCGCGTTGGGTAGGGGCCTCATATGCATCTCGTGTGGCCACTGCGTGCTCGCAGGAGTTCAAGGAAACGATCGGCAAGTCGGGTGTGGAAATGACACGGTGGCAGACACAGGCGATTCTCAGGTGAGACAGGGCATTTCATTTCCGCTTCTGAGTGGAGAAAATGATGTATGCTCCGTTGCTTGTTTAGGGCGATGGCCCCTGGCAGTGACGATGGACAACAGGACATCACGGAGGTGACGGTGGAGGCATTCATCACATCAATGCAGGACATCGAAAAGGTAGGTGAATCCCACAAGACGTGCAGTGCAGCAACACTCTTTCTCCCTGTCCATGTCTCTCGCTCCCCCCCACTGAATGAATGCAGCAATTGCTGTACGACGACCACACCGAGCCTGCCTCCCGACACAAATCGATGCCCAGCGGCAGCTCCCTCAAGAGCTCACCCGGGCGGAGCTCACCCGGGCGCGAGGCCAAGAAAAAGGGCCTGGAGGGATTCATCAGTGACGCGGTGTGAAGGAACAAACGGACAAACGGACGACCGACCTATCCATCCCTCCCAGACAGACACTACCAAAAATAGCTCATCTCCTTGCCTCGTCTGACGGACACATTCTGCATTCGCGACATGACATGATCGATGCGTGGATGTATTCATGCAATCAATCAATGTATGTGGATGGACACGCCATGGCAGGCGGCAGCACCTAGCTAGCTAGGTACACGACACGACAGCAGACAATATTTAAGGTCTCCTGCATGGCCACAAAGAAAAAAAGACAAGACAAGACAGACCTGCAGGCAGGCAGAGGTTGACACGTCCGATCGACCGACACCGAGGCCACACACAGGCCTAACGGAGCCGTTCCCTTTCGTGATGCTATGCTATCAGTCGCGTCTCCCGGTGATAAGATCGGTCAGCGATTCCCCGATGATCCCATCACTGATGCACTCGCCCCACGACCTCCGGCGAGCCGCGGGCTGCGGACGACGGGCGGGCCTTGAAGGCGAGGCGTCGTCAGCATAGCGGAAGTCACCGCCTGGATTTTGAATCCCTCCATGGACAGACATCATAGCGGCAAATGTCGACCGCTGCACAGACACAAGCATGCAGAAAAATGATAAGAGAGGGAGGTCCATGCGTGTCTCCCTATTTGCAAGCGCGAAAGACTTAGTACCCGAGCAGGCTTCGCCGCCAGCAAGCCCTGTCGCGAGTATTCGTTGCTCGATGACCTGGTGGGACAAGCAGGAGTTGCCTGAGGGTCGCCTCACATGCCTTTCCGCTACCGGCTCAGTAGGGTGTCGTCTTCTTCTTCTTCTTCCGTGGCGATTGCCCCCCTGTCTATGCTGGCGGCCGCCCCGCTGGCCGTTCCCGCACCATCCGAGTAGCCCGTCTGCTTCTTGACCTCCCACGGGAACGTGAGACGGCCCCGGATCCCTCTTGTTGACCTGCATAGCAACGGCAATTGACACCCACAAACACACGATGGTATGTAATTAACGCATGTGGAGCCCAGCCCCTTGGTGTTCCCTCCTCACGTACCGTTTGTCTTGGTTGCTGCCGTCCTGACCGGAAACACCCCCCACGAGAGGCCCCATCTGCGAACGGACACGCAGGGGAGAAAATGTACTACATACTGTGTGAGTGAAGCTGCCCGGCCATCCCTCGCTGTGTTGCGCATGTGACCTCATCTAGCTCCGTCGTCTGCGTCCCTTCATCAAGGTTGGCGCCAAGGTTGACACCCGCAGCGTGCTCTGACATCAACACACGTCGGAGAATGCTCGCAGAGGGGACCAGGTACGTACCCCAGGTACGACGGCACAGCTGGGGATATCTCACCAGGGATGGGTGTCAGTTGTTCTGAGTGTCGCCGAAGGGCCATCTTTCTTCGTCTTGCGGTGTGGTGGTTAAGAATCGACTAACAAGAGAAGGCACAGAGAGAATTGCAGCGTGTTTCGCCTTTCGGGCCCCGAGTCGAATGATGGGGCCCTGGACAGGATCGACCTCAGTGTGACTGTCGTGAGTGGTATTGGGCTGCACGTGAGGCGCACAGCAGTTGACAGGCTGGGAACACAGCAATACACACATAGTGTTCAGTGTCCGAGTGCTGGGTGAACTTGTGTGTACGCGGGAATCTGTGGTTGGTCTGCTGATTCGTGCCACTCTGCTCTCTGTACATATCTAACTCCACTGGCTCCACACAGCAGACTTATCACTCACTTCTCTCAGCATATATCGAAGAACACATCAAACCAACCCTCAAGCCCACCACACCCCGAGAAGGCATCTCATCTCCCGACCGACACGACACATACGTACCCACAATCAACACACCGACCAAGCAAAGCCTCCGTCCGTCCGTCCGTCCATCCATCCATCGTATCAGATCGATCACATAAGTAGGTCTTCGACAGTGCCGATGAGAGCCCCATTGTCCCATTTCCACGGGAAGAAGATCGGTCCGAAGAAGTCGTCCTTGTAGCCCTTGATGGCGAACTCGAGGAAGCGCCCCAGGATGGCCGCACCGAGGCACAGCCAGAACCAATCCACCACGTCCTCAAACAGCGTACGCGCAGGACTCTTCAGCGTTGCTGAACGAGGACATCACGTAGAGAACGCGATACGCAACGGTGTGCGCGTCTGTCTGTCCGTGTGTGTGCGGGGCGTGTGTGGTCTGGACTTTCATGGTCCCTGACCGAGTCTGTCCCGCTTCCGCTTTTCGTACCACCTCATGACCGCCTCCTCTGTGCCGTACTCCTCGCTCTGTGACTGCGCCACCAGATCACCCAAGAGCACCTCAGACTCACTCACCAACGTCTCCATCTTCTGCCCGGTCTTCACATCGCCCCTCCCCCTCTTGGACACCCTTGAAGCAGCACCACCGGCACTGGCGGCACCAGCAGCATCGACAGTGAGGTCACCGATGAACACCTCATCCTCTGCAGACTCGCCCTGTGCTCGCGATGGCTTCATAGGCTGCTGCGTCGCCTCTGGCACATTGCTGCTGTCGACAGCTGCCCGTGCTGCTTGGTGACGTCTTGATGTCGATAGCACACGGCGACGAAAGAGCAGAGGTGCAACGATGAATGCCGAGGGATGGGCATCGATGGACAGAGTCGCCGCGGCATATGAGATGGCAAGCATGGATCTCGTGAGCAGCAACAAGAGAACGGGTGGCAAAGACGAGAGGCAGACAGATAGATGCTGAGCCTTCATTCCTGGTAGCTCCAGACTCACGAAGGCTTTGGTTGGTTGGTTGGTTAAGGGTTTGACGAGACACCTGTCCCTAAGCCCGGCGCTACCTTCCGGCGCAACCAGGCATCTTCTCTGTCCACAGCACACACCAAACAGGCAACAGGCACATGCAGAATGCATGCACAAGGCCTATCTGCCCTTCCCATGGAGCAGTGGGTGCTAGTCTGACAAGTCAGCGTCAAGCACCCACTGCTCCATCTCATGCAACTCATATATGAAGTCATACTCACCATCAAACTGAC